AGGGTTCGTGTTTGTGGTTCAGCGCATGTGAAGTTGTTTCACTTCTTTGCAGACCTCGAACCATATGCCTCGCCTGGATTGTCCGAGAGCGAGCGCCGAAAACCCAAACCCTAGAAACCCTTAAAGATGTGAGGGAAAAAACCCTAAAACCCGAGAGATTTGGAAAAGCTTTAGGTTTCAGGGATTTGTGTGGCTTGGTTGCTAAGCTGCGAGGATGAGTGGGGGGGTAATGGATGCAGGAACCTGTTCGGCTACGGGCCAAAACCCGGAAACCCCGAAACCCCTGCCACGGTTTAGGGTTTAGGGTTTAGGTTAAACTCCCTCCCATGAAGCACAGATCCGCGAAGTCTTCTTGGCAAGTGCCAATGCAAGCTTCAAACCCCTGAACCCAAGGCAAAAAATGAAACCAGACGACGAAGTATATACTTCTTCAGATGGCGTAAAAATCGAATTAACACCGGCCAATTTTCAGCTCTCGTTACCCTAAACCCCAAACCCTCAATTCTCAAACAGACAACTAAACCTTGGGTCTACTGTTTGGGATTTAGGCTTTGCGAAGCTTAGCCCTATAAACCATTAGACCCCAAACCACTAGACCCTGAATCCCGTAGCTTTACTTTGTTTCACGCCGACTCACAGCTGATAGACTTGTTCGAGGTGCCCTAAACCCCACAATCCCGCGCGAGACCCCCGAAAAACCCATCAGGCTTTGCACGATTCTCTCGAAGAACTCCGAGTGGAGGCCGGTAGTTGTAGGGTTTCAGGTAGGTTTAGCGCTCAGAAAAGGTTTAAGACTTAGTTTCAGGTCTGTTAGGGCTTATAGTGTTTAGGGTTCAGTTTGTTGGGGCTTCGGGTTTGGGGCTTAGGTTTTGGTGTTTATAGGGTCTTTGTATAGAGTCTTAGAGACATAGAGGGGTTCATATGAACAGGTCCGTTGGATATGTTGTTTTCCTTGACTGGTTCGGAGGGCTTGGGGTTTCGGAAGTTTACGATTTGGATATGGGCAGTTCTCTATATTAGTGTCTCTCTCGAGGTCTTTTTTATACGGGTGCCGGACTATATTGGGGACCTAAACAGGGACCCTAATGTAGAGAACTACCCATGTGATGTTTTTCAAAGGATACGAGGTCGTGGGCTGACTGAGCGATTGGCTCACAGGAAGTTTAGAATTTTATTTGTATTTGGCATGTCCTTGGGCTTGGGCTTAGTTCAGCATTTGGGGCCAGGGGCTTGCAGCTTTGAGGTTTACCGCTTGAGTGCTGAGGGTTGGCAGTCTCACCGGCCATGTCTCCATCCTCCAGGTCGACCCTATAGGGTTTAGGGTTTAGGGTCTTAGGGTCTTAGGCTTTTAGGGTTTTGAGAGAGAGGGCTTTAGGTTTTTGAGGTTCTTAGGGTTTAGGGTTTACAGATCCCAAAGACGAATTCCTGAAGCCGAAACCGAAACCAAGACCGGAACATCCCGACATCTAAACTGCGGCTGCGAGGCAGGGGTGCAAAGAGCAATGCCAGGTCGACACCTACATACGCTGCATTTCTCTTCCTTGCTTTGGTGACTTTTAAGTATAACTTAAAATAGGGTTTCGGGGTATATTATACTATCATTATTATAAAGAGCCCGCAAAAATGTATCGGTAACGGTTGATGGACAAAATCCTTGACTTTATATACCTAAACTATGGGATTTATGGTACTATGCTGTTTTTTGTCATGCAGAATTTTGTCCATCAGCAGTAATTACTGCGGCCCCTGATGATGTCTTCGCACAGTGAGACCGCCAAGTCCAAACCCCCGAAACCCTCGTAGACCTGGCTGCGCTTCATGGCTTGCGATGTGGTAATTGGGGTTTAGAGTTTAGGGTTGAGGGTTTCGTTGCGAAGCCAGAGAAGGACCTTGATTGGAGAATACGGAATTTCCGTCGAGCATGCAAAGTCCACATTAAGCACGCCGTATGACAACACCTTATAAACACCCTAAGCCCTAATCCCAAAGGCTCCACCACTAATTATACCTGAGGTGGTCCGTTGAAAGTCTCCGCTCCTTTGCACGAGGCTTTCCCGTCAGCGCCTGTTCTGGTTTGCGGGGATGGTTTCAGCATGGACCTGAAGAATCTGAACAGGGTCGCGCAAGCGCTTATACGGGCCGGTAAGGGTTCGGGGTTTCATGATGCCATTTTTGAATTAGACTAGCAGCTCGGTGCAGTATAAGGTTTCGGTAATTATGCCGGGACCGTCACGGAGGATTATTTCTTATTATTGAGAGGCTTAAGATAAGAATCACCCACCCATCCTGTACTGCAGGGCCCGTGCCCCTGAAGCCCTTGCCTGAAGATCTTTGAATCCTTGTCTCGACACCCTGGATAAGCCGTGTGAAGTAAGTCTACGGCGTCCACGGAGAAGCTGATGGGCCAAACCCCAAACCATTGACCCGAACCGGTTGGGCCAGGACTTGTCCGAGTGTGAGTGTCAAAAAACCCGAGCCGGTTTAGGGTGTCTGTAGAGTTTCTAGCAAAGGCCCCTGGTCCTAGGATCTAGCAAGACTTCCAGGGAGCTCTAGCTGTTCCGGCTGGTTAGGAGGTGAGTTTCATTGGTTGAAAGGTATTTTTAGGAGTTAGGGTTTGGTTTCCATTAATTTGGAGGTCCGGTATTCAAGGTTCAGGGCTTTAGGGTTCCCAGCTTGCTATTTGGTTCGGGCTTTCAGCAGGTTTGACTAGACGTACGGTCCACCTACTGCCGGTTCTTTGGAGGACAAGCAGAGTATACTTCGGACAAGAGGGAGTTCCAAGGAAGAGGTTACAGGATCATAGCACTCGGCGAGCAACTACCATCACCAGTTGCTGGAAAAATGTAGACATCAAGCACTTGTTTGCATGCACCCCGTAGAGCCATAAAGGCCTACAGCGTCAATCATTGAAACCCTGAACCCCCATATCCCTCAGCCGAGCACTGCGCAGAGAGTGCCGAGTTTTCCGTGCGCTGAGTGTGGCTCTTAGCCCTGTAGTGTGCTGTCGAAGTTACAGGCTACAAGATCTACAGTCCGGAGCATCGGACCGTGCATGCGATGGTTTTAGATCGACTTCATGTCGGTGCTGTTTAAGATGAGGAGTAGCTGCCAACAAAGAAGCAACACTAGTGTTAGGGAGTCAACATGAATCTCTACAACCGCCATCCAGCAAACCATACTCCAAGCAGCGGGCTTAGTAAGGATCTGGAGTCAGAAACAGTGCTCCCGGAGCTATCGGAAACTTACATACGCCTGAACCAACCCGTCACGCATGCCCAGGAAGTACCTGGAAGTGCCACTATCACCCTCACCACAACCAGACGCCTATGGTTTAGAGTTTCAGGTCTGCCAGAAAACCCTTGCTCAGCCTCGAAGAACATGGTTTCTCTGTCATGCAGCTTTCTGCCGCCATTTCCCACCTACAGCTCGGGCTCTCGAACTTGCGGGCACCTGGGCTTAAGAGATTCGGGGCAACATAGCCCGCGGAACCTTCAACCCTCAACCACACATGCCACATACACTCTATAGCCTCCATGAAGACGTATCATACAACAGCCTTAAGCCCTAAACCCTCAGCGTCACATGCTACACCCGAGACTCGTGTTGGGGAGCATGCTCCAGGAACACACAGCTTAACTGGCCTCGGGATCAGGTCGCTTACGGTAATAGACTCATCTACCAAACCCCTCGCTCACAAACTGGAAATGTGTCAGAAAATCTTAGCAAGCAAAAATCAAAAAAAGCGTAGAGTTTGGGGGGGGGGGGGGGGGGGGTCAGGCAGGGCCCCGAGGTCTCAGGTCTGCAGGACTCAAACCCCCCTCTTTGCTGATGCGCAACCACAACCGAAGAGCCTCGTACCATTAAAAGGGTTCCTACAGTAAGGCTCAAGGCTTTGCACCTAATTTATGGTGACTGAGAGCTAGGAAGCCCTTCGAAATACTTCAGACGGTCTTTGTCCCATGTGATGGCTGCAGCGTAGGCGGCGTAGGGGTCGGGATGCGCGTAAGTGTGGAGCTTCATGGTGCAGAGCTTGGTGGGTTTGTATAGAGGGCTTGGGGTGTTGTACCGGTGGCATAGAACAGCACGGGACGCTCCAGCCTTAGACGTGCGACTGTCAAAGACTATGAAAGTTGAGCTTAGAAACACCCAGAAAGGTTGAAAGAACTATTGTAGAATCCTTGTAGAACCATTGTTTAAAGAACCCGAAACAGTCACCAGGCGGTCATCCAGGACAACCCGCTCGGGGAGGCCGAGAGACGTCACTCGTCAATGCTTAGTTTCGGCTTTTGAGATTCGCTTGTTGACAGCCCGCTTCCCCTGACCATGCTCCAACCCTGTGCGCTGTGTTTAAATTCGAAATGCCATCGGCGCGGGCACACACACACGCATAGATGAGTATTTCGACGTAACGGATGCTTAAGTCCGAATAGATGTCGAGCTTACATACAGGATTTCCGAGAAATGCTCAGTCTGGCGTTTATAGGAGAAGCTCTTAGGGGTACTTCCCAATTATTCTTAATTTTGGGTGATTGTAATGATAATCCCTAAGAAACAGCTAAAATTATAAGTTAGAAAGGAGGAGTGTACCTCGAACTATGGAGGGCTTATAGTATCTGTACGGGTACTGCTCAGCTCAAGGGTTTTGGGCTCTCTGGGAAGTGCTTCTGGGGCTTTGGGCTTAGGTTTAGAGTT